TCCCTCCAGCATGTCAACCGTGCCATAACACTGCTTTCATAATTACTGAAACTTTCTAGCATTATGCAGGTCATCTGCACGTAAATTCAATTTCTATATTAACAGCAGGGCTTGCACAATTATATAATAACCATACCTGCAGGATTATCATCCTCTTACCCAAGAGCCCAGGTTCTCACCTGCAGCATTGGTGCGTATATACACAATTTCACTTTTTGCTCCGTGAATGTGATGGTTTTCCATCATTGTGAGGGTCACAGCCTTGACATAAATGGCATATTGAGTCCAAGGTTTCAATCCCTGCAGCAGAATTCCAGGATTATTCTCTTTGTTTGGGGGCAGGTCAACGTCGACCATGTTCCAGCTGTTGGAGCCACACGCATCTTGCCCATCATATTCCGTCACGTTTTTGAATGGTCTGAAATTGTAAAGGAAAAAACCAATAGTACAAAACATTTACTTCCTCCTAAAAACCATCACATATCTGTGAGTGGCTCACTTCAGCGCTGCTCAAGGAAACAAAGCGTACTTGTTTTCCACAGCAGAATAAAACGGAACAAAATGCACGGTTCCTTCCAAGCACTACAAAAATTCAGTTTGGCTTTAGCTGCAGGCCTTACCTCACCAGCAATATGGCAAAGTTCTCCAAGAAAGCACTAAATATACGTTTTTGAATCCAAAACAGACAGTGAAATGCTTCAGATGTATTTAGACATCAGTAAGCAGGTATGAAACAGAAGTACTCAAAGGAGCACTGATAGTGGCTGAGCTTTTGATCATAAAGAACCCAAACTTCCATGACAGGCCTCGACCAGGCCATCTTCTCCCTTTTACTTCCACACAACACAAACACACTTACAGTGTCATACAGCTCTGCTTTTCCCAAGCTGCAACACTGGCAGCTTGACCCCATACAGCACATGGAGTGCTATTCTTGTTACGAATTACTCGGGACTCACCAGCACTAGGTTTAGGGCATCGCAGGACACCGTCACCGTGATGCTCTCTTCAAAGCGATGCTGGACACGAGCAGTCCCTGCTTCTGTGCCTTGCAGCCTGGCTCCCTATGTCACTATCCGCATTCTCAACCTCCCCTGCACACCTCCAAACTGCCTGGAGAGTTACTGGTGTGCCCATTTGTAGTTTTTACTAATTTTTTACGACTAAACTCCTGATCTGCAACATCTGTACTATGACTAGGGAAGGAAAAGATCCCAGTACATGACTTCCAGAGAGCTCCAAATTACACCCCTGAGAACAGCCAGCCAAGCCACCCATCCAAATTTTTTTTTCCCCCCAAATTGGAAGCTTCCTGATGGATTGGGAATCCATTTGTAGGCTTCAAAGAAACAATCCTCCTTTTAAAGAGGGCTTGTTCTCCACCAAGAAGAGAATTTGGTCAAAAGTGGGACTTGAAGATGAAGCACATAAACTGCATAAGACATCCAACAGTCAGAACAGAATTGTCTACAGTCTCTCAGACTGCCCCAATTAGTCTCTGACGACATCTACTTACGCTTCTTTGTAGTAAACAGTGAAGCTAATGAGATCTCGATAATCTGGAGGGCGATACCGTTCCCATGTTAGTTTAATCCGATTCTTAAGCGTAGTGTTGGAAACAAACCGCAGAATGTGGCTTTCACCTGCAATACAAAAGGACAGGGCATGGCAGGGTGAGCATCACATTGACTACGCGGGTTTTTATGCTGTGTCTTGGGTACCACTTTTGGCTAATTAGCCTTTCCAGTAGCACCTATGACACCAGAGCATACAAACAGCCCTTGCCTCTGTAGAGCTTCGCATTTCACCCTACTACATCTCAGTGCTCCAGTGACCCTTGGCAACCATTTTGGAACACGTTGGAGCTACTTTTCTGAAGCAGATTTTCTTCCAGTGCATCATCAGAAAGCTCTGGAAAACTGCTTCAGACTCTCCCCGGGCAAGGAATGGGAGTTCTGTTTATTCACAGGACTGGTTTAGAAGCACTAAATCCATCACCCAACTCCAACACACGCGCAGAGCAGTAACTGGCCTCTGTCTTCTCACTTTCCAGGACAACTTCTGACAACTACAGTTTGTTTTCCTGCGGGATGGACAATATGGAAAGGACAAAGGAGTTTACATTCCTACCCGTAAGAGGCTGGACCAAGAACTCCAAAACTCAGCTCCTATTCGGCACAACCATTTGATGGCAGCAGCTTCCAGCTACTCTTCTCAACAGAGCTGGAGGGAAGCTGGCAGCTCCGAAATGAATGGCTTCCTACCACCAACTCACTGAGCTTTCCAATCCAAAACAAAATAGCATTTTAAAACCTTAATTCTTGGATGAAGAAATTGTGTTCCAAGTGTCAACTGTGAGTTTGTAATGTTCCACAGAAGTCTCTGAAAATAAAGGGGTTTTCACCCTCGTGTACACTGGCACTATTGGTGCTATGTTTTCAAAGGCAGTTTAGCTTTTGTTGATTATTTCCCCTTCTCGGAGTCAGAAAGCTTTCTGTAATGGTTTTTTATAAAAGCAGGCAGCGGCTGGCACTAGCCTCAGTGGTAGTAAGGACTGGCTGTGTCTCTGTAACTCCTCCAGCACTGCAAGCCTTTGCTCTATTGAATGTGCAAAGAATGGAGCGTGCTTACAACAAGGATCCGTGCCATCTGCATTTATGCATCACGCCTAAAGAGACACTGAGCAGAGTACGTGTCCTAGTTTTGTAAACACCACCCAGAACAAGGGGACTCGACTTGTACACAAGATCCATTTTAATTTACTCAGCTCCAAGAACAGCACAAACAGACCAAAGAAAAATGCATTGTCAGTTCTAAGAGTTTGAGCGTGAGGTCAAACCCCTAAGCGTTCTGTTGTCTTAATTCCTAGATGAGAGATGGCTCTTAAATGTGTTGGTTCCACCTGGAGACCTGATGTGCAGAGCACCGAAGCCAAGAGAGGCTATCCCAGTAACTCTCACCACCACAGAATCCAAAATAAAATGCAGAGAGACTGAAGATGAGGAACACCTTAGACACTAAAGTGTTCTCAGTTGGAAAGCGAATCATCTGAAAACAAAGCACAGAAAACTGACTCTACAACAGGCATTTCTCGCAACAAGGTACAATATTCGGCAGGAGCTGTGAACACCAATGATTTGTTTTGGTGTCTATGGAACTGTTGTTCAGCAGCCTCCTCGGTACCAAGAAACAGCAGGTATCCAAGAGCAGAATGCCTATAATGGCATACCTACGTGAAGGAAACACGGAAGCTGCTCCTCGTTGGATATACCAACACACTAGATCTTATTTGTCATTTCCCAGGTATGTTCCTTCTGCTGTCACATCTTTTGTGATGTTTGGGTGTTTGGAAAGCAATCTTCATCAGATGGTTTTTATAGACGAGACAGTGACTATGCAGCCACGCAGTTTTCTGTGCACGCAAACACACTTCCACAGCTACAGTTTAAAAACTGAACAAGCCAAATGACTGAAGGCCGACTGTGATTTCTAAACTCTAAGTACTGTAACGGTCAGCAATGTGGCAGTGTACTGGGGTTTTTTTGTGACACCCTCCTATGCAGTTTGCCTTGAGATTTTTTTGTTTGTTTACTTACAAGAGGCTCTCTCCCCATTGTTCCTTGGATTTATATCTCCTTTGCTCTGTCGTCCCTTGGTTCCTGAAACTTCCTCCATACGGTAAATCTCAGAAACACACAGTTTAGGATTAAACGCAAAGTACATTTTCCCCTCCTTGATCGTCAGGTTATGATGGTTCCAGTCCCACAGCTGCTGAAGATTGTGGTTGTCAAGCACATAGAAGGAATAATTCCTAGGAGGAAATTTTTGAAGGAAAAATATTAGTTTTAATTCATAGCCAATTCCAACCAAGAATACCTTAACGTAAGAAAAGTCTAACACAGCTTCCTCTTACTACTGTAAATCGGTGTTCAGCAGAGTGAAGGATTTCCTCCTCTGCCATGCAGCAAGTTTTCCCTGAATGCTCCCTTCGGTCAGGTGGCAGGGAAACGACTAACACAGGACTCCAAGGCCATATAAAGCCTGCTCCAACATGTATTTTAAGAGTTGTACAGAAGCTGCTTTGAGGAATATAAATTCACATCCTCTGAACAGCAGGTCTCTACACTGGATTTTCCATTTTGTGGTGAAGGACAGCAGTAACCTTCCATAGGTATGGGAGTAAGAGCATGGTGCAGTTCCGACGTAACACAGTGTGAACGTAGCTGTCTTGCTTATGCTTACAAAGGCAACTGGAAGAGTGTGCATAGTGAGGTTTCCTTGCCTCTCTGCCGTCGTTCACTTCTTGGCCCAGTAACGATTTCCCACGGTGTACCAAGTACAGTTGTGCCTCTACATCAAAACCCAACAGTGAGCAGTTGCACTGATCCGCACGGGATCTGCACTCCCAAGGACAGAACTAACAGTGCGGGCAGCAGCCTGCGCTGAGCCCCTTCCCTAAGCACGGGACTGGGGTAACATGAGCAGCCTTTATTGCCACCACAGAGACTACATGCAAAGTTGTGTGTGGAAATCCTATTATATATAGTATAGATATACTAAATCCTATTATATGTAGTATATATAGTGTATATATATGGGGTAAGAACTGCTGGTACCACTGGATTGTGCTGAACTGGGGGAAAAAAACACTAACAAACAAGTGCAGCAGAAGCAAGACTATAGGCTCTGCATCAGCAGCAAAACAACACCTCCAAAGACACATTTTGGGATCGTAGAGATGAGAATACACACATAGGAAATGAGCTAAAGGTCCAAGTAGCCGACGAACCTAAAACAAACTAACCCATCAGGGCAGCATTTATGGTACTTCTGTGGAAAATCCCACTGGGGTTAACTACATCAACCCAAAATCCATTATTAACACAAAGAAGCCTGCAAGGCATTCTGCGTTGGTAAGCCCATGTCAGCGTGGTTAAACCAGGCGTTCTACGAGTCCTTTTAACTACAGCCAGAGTTGCAGCAGGGTAACATGGCAGACAAACCGTGGGGCTCATACGAAGCTGACATACTACTGGTTTATGGTTTTCCTTCAACTACCTGATGTAGAAATTAGCACTGATTCCTCCCTCACCCAACCTGACGTGAAAGCTGTGCATCCTGGTTGCAATCTCCACACCACAGCTACAAATTCTCGTAGCACACCAAAACGCCCAGCGTATTTTCAGAGCAACGTCAAAGAGCAGTGGTTTCTCCTAATTCCAACTGTCCCCCTAATTATCCAGGACCTGATTGCTAATCAAGTCAACATACCTGATACCACTTCAGACAGATGATGAGAAGAATGTGCTGGGTTGACACGGGGACACATACATGTTTGTGCTTAAAATGCATCTTGCCAGGAAAGAAGAGGGATGCTAAACTGCACATGGGATTTGACAGACATCGCCAAAAACTGGATTTGCGACACCTATTACTCTGTTACAAATGACTAAAATCCCTGCAGCTCCCTGTGCGCTGCTGAAAAGATGACACTTCACCATAATTAGCTGTGTGATTAAGTGATGGCAACTAAACTTTTCAGGAAAGCCCCAAAAGTTGGACTGGGATGAACACAACAGAGGTGTGGCTCCATGACTACAGAAACCATCTTAAATATTTACCAGCAGCCTAGCCTGTCTCCTGCTCACAGCTGGGGCAGTCCTGCTTTAGACGCTAGAGAATTCTTGTATTAAAGCAATGTGGCAGAGCTTTCTAGAGTGTGAATCGGTGAGGCAAACGGAGCACACGCTGGTGCTTTACACAACTTCACAGCGACTGGGCCGGCGCTGGGGTTACTGCAGCTCGTACGTTAAAGCCAGGGCACAGGTTCGAGCAGCCAGCTGAGGCGAGGCAGACACATCCTGAGGGTTCATATACACACTGGAAGTACAAATTCGTGGAATTTATTTCAGCACCATTCAAAGCACCAGGGAAACAGCATTCGGAGGGCTATATACAGGCTCAGTCAGAGAGAGGTGCAGCGCTGCGTGGCTTGAGAGGTGGAGCAGAGGGCAACCAGAGTGCACTCAGGGCTTAGGTTATAAATAAAGTTATAAATAAAGATTATATCAGACTTTGGCTCAAACAGCTGTGGAAAAAATCAGGATGCCAAGGAAGATAGCATGGAAAGAATAAAAGATTCACTGTAGGAAAACAAAGCACTGCCAATCAAACCCTGGAGACAGTAACTAAGGGAATGACTGGAGATCATGGCCTGAAGGACAGGCTAAACCTCTGAACAGGAGAAGGAGGCACATCTGGTCCCAGGCTTGCCATAAAAAGCCTCAAGGTGACCTGCACAGCCCATGCACAGCCACAGGAGAGAATTCCCACAACGTGATGCGTGTCCCCAACCGCAGAGCACCCACAGCCACTTAACTACTGGCTGCACACATTCAAAACCTGCTTCATGCTCTGTCTGCACACAACGCCGCATCTGCGCACGTCCACCCATCGCACAGTTTGAGATCCAAACCAAAAGGAGATGAGGGTGATGAACACCTTTCAACAAGCTTTCAATCACCTTTATCCTCCTCCATAGCATCCAGAACACAAGAAGTGCCCAAAAGGGGTAATGACCGGCTAAGTGCACTGTTAGTAAGAGAGCAATGCATGATCCCTAAAGGCAAGTGACTTGCACCAAAAAGGGAATGAGAACTGGCAGAGGACTGTGAAAGAGCGCAGTGGATGAGCTGGCTACAGAAGACCAACAGGCAACCGAGGTTTATGGCCAAGTGACTACCCTGGGACAAGAGAAAGAACCCTGCAGAAGATACAGAATAGGATGTTCATCCCTCAGTGCTACAGTGATGAGAAGGACAGGAATTCCACTAGATCAGGTAGCTGAGGCATCAGTCACTAAGAGACAGGAGAAAAGGAAAACCTTTATTGATTTACATACACAAAACATGCCACGTCTCAGCTAGAACCAGTCTGTTAACATGGAGATTGTTCCACACCTGTACCACAGCGCGGTCCTGATGGGAACCCAACAGTCCAACACAAATTGCGCAACACCCCAGAGAACAATATGGAGAAAAATACGTCAACAAAATACTCCATCTGATGGTCCCTCTTTAAACAGGTTTGTTCTTCAGCATCTCCCTACAAGCCTGAACTTCATCAAATTTCCAAACACCTCCACTATTTCAAAAACATGGGTGTGTTCTTTTGCTTGTGTTTGCCCGCCCACACTTCAAACAGAACCACTGAGGTTATTAACAGAGTATCTGCCTGTACGAGATACGTGCACACACCTTGCTTATGTAAGTTGTAAGCAACTTGAAAACAGCTGATTTTAGCCAATGACTGCATCTCCTACATGGGTACTAACCCATGGATTTGGAAGTAAACCTTACTAATACTTAAGTCCAGTGTTTTCTCATCTGGTTTGAAAAGACAAAGTGATGAGCCTCACACCTGAGCGCACAAACTCCCCAACTCGCTTTTTGAAACTTCTCTTAGACATGGATGGCTGAGAAACAACCTCTATAGACGCCCCTTAAGCAAAACAAAGCCAAGGAGCATTCCCCACGGGAGCCCGCCACTGCAGACGTGCTCGCCACCCCCGTTTATCACCAGCCCAGAGGGCGTTATTCATTCCTAACGCACACTCACATGCAAGGCGACTGCTTTGCCGAAATGCTGCGGCTAGAACAAGCCTTGCGGCAATCATGCCGACTGTCTGAATTCACCGTGGACTGACAACAATGATCCCAGGAAAACAAACCGTAAAGCCCTCAGTGAGGAGCCACGCAACAGCTCGAGATGCTGTTCACACCTTCCAACAAGCCTGACAGCTACTGATGCCTCTGCCTCAAAGTAATGTAGAAAACAGGGAGGTGTATCTGGATGTTACAGACTGTCCCCAGTTTGCTGCCGAAGTTAAAACACCACCTCAGAGGCTGGTCAGTGCCACAAGGCACTCTTCCTCAGTCACCGTCTCCTCGTCCACTCCTAAAGGTCACAAACTGGTCATTTTCCAGGTACCCCACCTGGAGATGCTTTGAGAAGCGTTGCCCATATCCCACCCACCAGCACGGCAGTTGCAGTTGATGACAGCAACGAACAGACAGCACCCAGCCGAGGACACAGGCCCAGCCAACCAACTGCCAGACTGGGGATCAAAATCCTGCAATGGATGCCAAGATCCTTCCTGCACAGCTCCATTTCACAGAACGGTTTGAGTTGGGAAGGACCTTAAAGACCATCTAGTTCCAACGACCCCACCATGGGCAGGGACCCCTTCCACTAGACCAGGGTGCTCCAAGCCTCATCCAGCCTGGCCTTGGACACTTCCAGGGATGGGGCATCTACAACATCTCTGGGCAACCTGTTCCAGTGCTTCACCACCCTCTCTGGGAAGAGTTCCTTCCCAATTCTCCTCTCTCTCAGTTTAAACCCGTTACACCCCTTGTCCTGTTACTCCCTGCCCTTGTAAGAAGTCCCCCCCCAGGATTCTTGTACCCCCAAGGCACTGGAAGGCTGCAATAAGGCCTCCCCAGAGCCTCCTCTTCTCCAGGCTGAACATTCCCAACTCTCACGGCCTGTCCCCATGGCAGAGAGGCTCCAGCCCTCGGACCATCTCCGTGGCCTCCTCTGCTCTGGACTCGCTCCCACTGGTCGATATCCTTCTTACGTCGAGTGCTCCAGAGCTGGACGCAGCACTCCAGGTGGGGTCTCACCAGAGCACAGGAGGAGAATCCCCTCACCTGACCCGCTGGTTTCAGTTTCCCTATTCACAATGTGAAATTCTCTTCTTGCTGGGGGACTACGTTCACCACAGACGTGGTGTTCAAAAGAGGCAACAAATACTCTGAAAACAACATAAATGCCCTCTAACTTCGCATTTTCTGTGATAACCAAGGCAGGCACCAGCAAGAAAGAAATCCTGAAAGGAGAATCCCCTCACCTGACCCGCTGGTTTCAGTTTCCCTATTCACAATGTGAAATTCTCTTCTTGCTGGGGGACTACGTTCACCACAGACGTGGTGTTCAAAAGAGGCAACAAATACTCTGAAAACAACATAAATGCCCTCTAACTTCGCATTTTCTGTGATAACCAAGGCAGGCACCAGCAAGAAAGAAATCCTGAAGTACTGTTTTGTTAGTCCAGTTCAGTAAAAAAAGGGGGGTGGGAGGGTGGTGGGGTCAGTCGTGTAATGATCAACTATCGTAATGGACTTCAAGTTAAGCTCCCGCTCGCCCCCCGCGGCCACGCTGGCATAAACAGCAGCCCAGTACTTCCCAGGTTAAGCCCCCACTCCCCGTTGTTCATAACTCTGCCAGAGTAGTTGTTCAAGCTCAGTCCTTCCTCGCCAGGTGCCTACTTCCACCTTTTTGGAAACGTTATTTAGACTGTGGTAATGCCTAAATTACAGAAGGCGTGCTCCAAGCGAAGAGACTGCCCCCAATACGAAGTATGTACCTGCAGTGATTCCCTGGCATGGGTGAGTTTTAGCACACGTAGCTCCTGGCTTGATCTGTTTTACTTCCTCCACTCAGTGCCAATTCCCTCTTGGAAGTTGCACGGATCTGGGATTCCGATTTAAAAACCTGCCGTTTCCCTTCGTATCAGCTCTGCTTGCTAACATACCAGGTACCATAAACACAATTACTACTTGAAACACAAAGCTACACTCAAAATTAAAGCCAGCAAGTGAGAGAGGGGGAAAGAAGAAAAGGGAAATCGATAACTGGAGTGTCGGTGAGCGCACGCCACGCCGTAAGTGGGCTGAACGAGCCTTGTGCTCGGCAAAGGGACAAGACTCCAGGGTTTGCAATCAGAAACAAGGTTTTCCGTAGGGCCAGCGTTCTTGCTGAAAAAGACAGCGTGCTTTTCAAGCGCAGGATGAAGAGCTGCCCTCTAACTCGCCCTGTCAGATGGTGGAATTTTAAGAATTTAAGGCTGACCAAAGACTAGCCTGAGAGAAAAAGAGGGAGGTTGTGAAGAAGCCCTCATGCTGTAACTTTATCCTGTCGGGGCAGATAAATCAGACACATGCAACCTTTCCCATGACCCTCCCATCACCTTTTCTTATATGATTTCCCAAAATTCTTCATTTAATAGTTCTGAGGGAGACTTAATTCTCCCAGAGAACACTGTTTTGAACTTGGGATGGATACCTGATTCAGGAATAGAAACAGCAAGGCAGTTTGCTGAAGGACCATCACCACACCTCAGCACTGTAAGTTCTGGGGACACAGAACCATGGAATGGTTTGGGTTGGAAGGGACCTTAAAGACCATCTAGTTCCAACCCCCCTGCCATGGGCAGGGACACCTTCCACTACACCAGGTTGCTCCAAGCCTCACACAGTCTGGCCTTCAAGACAGCCAGGGATGGGGCATCCACAGATTCTCTGGGCAACTTCTGTCTCCACTACCTCCTACCATCATAGGAAAACAGAAGTTGCATGCAAAAGTATCACACGCTGTGTAATTATAAAAGCAATATAACCCACAGCAAACATTTCAACATTTCATTAACTTTACTTTTCCTGACCAGTCTTTTTCCTGCTCAGTAGAGAACTCATTTAATGTCAGCATTTCAAGGAGCTGCAAACTGCAACTTGCAGTCTGTTTCACACTAGTTGGGTCACTTCCAGTTGCACTCTGTGGCTAGTAAAGTTCAGGTTTCCTTTCAACTGACATTCTCCATAAAACTATGCCAAAAGCCAACAGTAAAGAACTGCAAGGAAATCCATTTGTTTCTGAAGATGCTGTTTTCTCAAACTGAGCAAAAAGAACAAAGACACTTTACTGATGTAACCAATTTCCCTAAAAAAACTCAAGTGAAAAGAAACAACAAAGTTATCATAAAAGTACTGTTAATATACCCAATTAAATATTCTGATTGACTGGAGTGCTGTGTCCAGTTCTGGGCTCCTCAGCTCAAGAAGGACAAGGAGCTACTGGAGAGGGTCCAGCGCAGGGCCAGTGAGATGATGGAGGGCCTGGAGCATCTTCCACATGAGGAAAGACTGAGAGATGGGTCTGTTCAGCCTGGAGAAGAGGCGGCTGAGGGGGGTCTTATCAATGCTTAT